AACTCTGACTTTGATCTTTAATTTAAGGCTGTTTACAACCACCAATGAAGAACTAAGTAGAAACTATTGTCCTTTTTGTAGTAAGTCTTCCACTGCTCACCTAATTCAGGCAAAATTATCTTAAAGCTGCATTTAAATCTAATCCAATTTTATTTTAAATCCAGTTCTGAGAAGAAAGTTTATTGAGTTATCTGGAAAACTTTGCATAGAAAACCCAAGAAGCTCTCAAATCTAGAACAAAGACTTATTTTAAAATAACTGGCTTAAGTCAGCAAAGTCATCCATACAATATTTTCTTACAGAGCCAAAACAATTAAAAAAGAAAACACACTTTGTGCAAATGTTTACTGTGTGATCTCTGTGTGTTGCTGCTCTAGACACTAAAATAATAAGAATTGTTTCCAGGGCCTTCTAACAAGCTTGATCCTCCCTCGACTCCACAAGTGTAAAAGACAAAAGGAGACAAAAGAATGACTCAGTGGATCAGAGCTCAGCACCATGTCTCATCAGGCTGGTTGTCAGCTCACTAATGCCTGTGATGCCATCAAATTATCCCTAAAAATAGCTCTGTGGGTGGGGCGAAACGTCACTGTGTCTCATCAGAGGCTAAAGCCCACCTTTTATTTTTTTTACATGCACCTTAACCCATAAATGCTCGGACAGTTTTCAATGTGGGAAGAGTAGTTGAGAAAAGTGATGATAGACTTTCAATAACGTGATATCACCTGGCTCAGAACTCATTCAACATTATCCACCTTTTACAATTTGGTAAATAACAAGAAAAGCAGCCAAAACGCACTCACATTCTTCATCAGCATCAATATTATGGCAAATTGAGACAGCGTAGGAATATCTTTTTATCAGCAGGGATTCCCAAACCCTCACAATAGATGCACATTAGAGCCCCAATTTGAAAGGAGTTTCTCTTGAGGGATCCCCTCTGGGTATTTTTATTTTATTTCCATGTTTCAGGATTATAAAGTCATTCATAGTAAATCAATGGTCAAACTGGAATCACTATAAATCACAATCAATAAAAACCCTATTTCTTTCCTTGTTGTTCAAACTTCCAAAAAATGTAATAAAAGTTAAAATATTCCTTCTTTTGCTTGGGACCTCCTAGAACCCACTCAAAGACCCCTGTTGTCCCCATGACCCCCCTGTTTTAAAACCATGTTATTTAAAGCTCTGGCCCAGTATATTTAACATTTAGCAAACATTATTAAAAACATTTATAAACATTTATTAACTGTCTGTTAATAGTATTTCATTGTGACACTGGTGATTTAATCCCTGGTCTGTTTCCACTCGTTAGGAATTAATTTACTTCAAAAACACGAGTTGTTAGAGACTCCTGTAGGTTTAACGAGGTAAATAAACCGTTTTAGGGTTGACCAAATGCAATAGACACACTATAAACAAACTTGAAGACACTCGTTAACGGAAAGGCTCCAAACAACCCATAATGCAACAGTCTATTCAAAAAGAATATCTGCTGTTAAATGTCTAATCCTAAAATATAACACGTTTTTAAATGCAATTTCCAGTACAAAATAAAATAAAATTATGGCATTTCTTTGCCCCTCCATAGATTTGTTTAACCATGTTCTATTTCAAAAAATAAACCCTTCTCTCCTTTCTCATGTCTTGTAGGCGCACTACAAGTATACGATAGTACGAGAAGAGCTGCCGCCACTCTTCTCAGTGTGATGTGAGCTGGGACAGAAATACGCCTCGGCGCCTCTACTTCAACTACACCAACAGTCTGCTGTGATACGGACCGCTGTAATGGGGCCTGCCCGTCCATTGCTGCCCTCAGCTGGCGAGGCAGCTCGCTCTCTGCTGCTGCCTGCACTCACTCTCCTGGCCTGCAGCATCAGAAGGGGTGGGGGGTGTGGGGGATGTCTACACGGGGTCAAGCTGTAGGGTTTGAGAATCCCTGTTTTTAAATAAAGTGTGACCAGAAAATGATATGAGTTTTCAGAAGCGAATATGATTTTATTAGTTTGATTCAATTCAATTTGACATTACATTACAAATCTGTCAAGACCTCAATTTACCAAATCAGTAAAAATAACTTATATGACACCAAACTATATCTCACCTCAAGGTCTATTTTCCATTCGGGATTAAAATGTGGTTCAAAGTTCAGTGTTGATTCTGGAAAACAGCAGCCGACAGAACAATCCAGACTAAAGGTCCAGTATGTAGCTGTTCTGGAGCTTTTGACCAGGTGTCCCACTTTGTGTGGGACTGCACAGCACTATTTATCTCTTGTCCCACATGTTGACCCTTTAAGTCCCAAAACTTTCTCCTTTCTCTCCTTTGCTGAGAGGGACAGAGCAGAACTGAAGGGTGTAGTTACACTTTAAGTTCAAAAGTTCATTTTTGACCTTGGAAACGGAAGACAGTTTGCCACTGGAGACCACGTGATACGATAGAAAGCTCCAGAGCAGAAACTAAATCGACCTTGAAATGAGACGGTTTAGGCAAGAAGGAGCTTTTACACAAACATGAATGAGAGGCTGTTAAAATACTCAACTGGGAATTTAAACATCTAAATTTCCATGTCAAATGGGTGAAAGCTCCAGAAAAGATACTAAATGGACCTGATTGTTTTAACAACTTCTTTGAAACTCTTTTGTTTTGGACAATATCCTTAGTTTGGCCATGTATCAGTTTTTTACAAGTTACATTGACGATGACCCGATAATGATGCTAATAAAACTTAAACTACAATGAAAAGTTGCCGTCTCAGTATTATTCTTGTTATCTGTGCTCTACTTAAACCTTATTAGCTATGTATGTACGTATTATTTGTTTGCACCTTTTTGTGTCCCTTCGTCTTGACCATCTCCATGTTGTTACCCTTGACAACGGTTAAAAAGTAAATAAAAACACATCAATCACTGGTTGATTTATTATCAAGATATTTTTTATTGGGATATTAATACGCGTGTCTTTGTAAGAGCTTTAAAGTACAAAATACATTTCAGCGGTGCTGTTAGTTTGATTGTCTTCATTGTTAGATCTACTGCTTTAGTATCCACCCCTAAGCATGGAAAAAGACAGAAAAAAGGCTAAAATATTTGTAAGGAGTTGCACAAGGGTAGGAAAAGCAATATGGGTCTCATGACAAAGAAAATACATGTATATGAAGATTTTAAAAAAATAGTTAAAAGACAGAGAAGTGAAAAACAAACGAATGAAAGTAACATTTTAAAGAATATATCAAGTTAAATGGTCCCTGAAATTGTCCTATAGTTAGAAATTATTCTGACACGATCCCTTTAAACGTTGGTCCATTTTAGAAAATAGATGAAATCCACAACAATTCAGTCAAATAAAATATCTCTTTGATCCAACACTGTCACACCTCTCAGTTCATAAGGGAAGGATTTAACTTGTCTGATTCAAATCAAGAAAAGAAAAGAAAAATAACCAACTGTGCTCACACTGGACGTATAATCAAAGTCTGTGTACAAGACTGTCTTTTCAAACACTTTAAATTGCACTTGGGTTTCATTTTGTTTCACCCTGATCTGAGAGACACATAATGAGGCAATCTTGAGCTCACAACAAAGATGCTCACACCACTACCTGCTGTATAAATCAAGTGTTAATCGCAAACAGCCTCTATAAATGTTAATTTGCATAGCGCCGTTAAGTTAATACAATCCTCCTGGTACAACAGTCGGACGAGGCGTTGTTATTGGTTCCAGTTCTTCCCAGCGGTTCAATTTCAAGTCACTTTTACAAGAATTTTCAGACTCCCAAGAGTGTATTAATCCAACTGATAACACAATACGGCTAAGTGCAATCACTAAATATACATGTTTTTGATTTAATGATAAGTCAGGTGATATTACATATTTTTTCTAATTGTCAACAAATCCAAGCTTTGAGTCTTGACTCCCAAATACACTGTCCTTCTATAAATACCCATTAGTGCAACAAATGTGTATTGATTTAGGACTGACGGGGCGCAGTGAGCTATGACATAATGTCTTGTTGGTTTTGCTCTTTGTTGACAATAAGAAGATTATAGAACATTACCAGCCTTATCCTTCAATTAATAACAAGCAACAATCTAAAGCTGCGAGTTCTATTTTCATTTCAAACGTGCAGTTTATATTTAACTTCTTGCTGTTCCTTTTTTTTTTACCCATGCAACACAACAGGCCTTGTGTCCCCGAGCTACTAGAGGAGGCAGGAGTGCTTTCTGTGTAGCAATTTAGCAATTAACAAGAGCCTTTACTTCCTTACCCACAGCACCTTGAATACAATCACAACCTGATATCTCTCTTTTATATGACACTTAAAAAGGATCCTTCATACATGACAGGCAAAACAAAATAAATTGTTGGCAAGGAGCCCTGACAGCAGATCACAAACAGCCCTGGTAATCTTGAATAATCCTTCACGCCTGCCGTGGGAGCACAGAAAGGGGAAGCCCAAGTCTATTGAAATAGTTTCCTGTCTCTGTAACTGTTTGCAGCTCTGCCTCCCTAAAGCAAATTGCGATCTGCGATCTGCAGGCCGGGGGGAGAAAGCACCCCCTTTCCTCTGCGAGGTGCACTAAGGAGAATACGAAACCGTTCAAAAAGGAGTTGGCTTGTAGTCCTTAAGTGTCAACGGCGTTGTTTCGAATAATAAAGTCAATACAAACCACAAAAGACACTTTGGCAGGTGAGCTGGCGCTAGTATGCGTTTGTCACCATCACAAAACCCATTTCCTTAATACCAAGTCTGAAAATGAGAGTTGAATCAGCTTGTGTGATGCTTGCAAGGTACTAGTGAAAGTTTAATCTGGTAGGCAGCTTTGTGTATGAACCCCCCCCGCCCCCTCCCCTCAAAAAAAAAAACAACAAAACAACAACAATATACTTGGAGCAAACTTCATCAATTTCCAACTTTACAGTGCTGTATCTACTGATGTGAAACTGTACAAACAAGGCTTGTAGTTTTAAGTGTGTGAAAATGTCAATGGAGTGTGAGTGGTGTGTGCTTGTGTGTGTGTGTGTGTGTGTGTGTGTGTGTGTGGCTGTGTGTGTGTGTGTGTGTGTGAGCCTGCAAGCAAATTGGTCAACAAGTTACCAGGAGTTCATTAAATCATGGAAAGCTGAATTACCAGGAAAACTTGGTAGATATGAGGGCAGTCAACAAGCTTGTTAGCATAATAAATTAAGAAAGAGTTGACTTTTTGTGTGCATGTTTGTTTTTTTACATCAGCTTATCTGATTTCTGTGCTTCCTCATCTTCTTACTGACATAAAGGATCCACGAGGCAAATAAAAGGTATCCCTCGCTGTAAATAATTTTGATGTGGTTCAACTTAATTTGCTGCCTTACAAATGTGAGCTGAAGGGTTATTAAAGTCTTATATAAAAGTTGTTGAGTCAAGTTAACTAACCTTGAGAAAACATGTTTAATAAGCTTAAGATATTAAGTTGAACCAACAATGAACATTACAAACAGGTTTATTTTTACATTTTCTTAGTTTGCAGAGTCAGTTGTTCATTTCTGTGTATTAGAGACACAAGTTTCAATCATATATTTTGCCTTCAAATGAAAAAATAAGGGCCTCAGGCACTCTCAAACAATGCATGCTGGGAAGTCTGCTAATATGCTGATCATGTTTCTTTAGAAACGTCATTTAATGAGTCAGAACTTTGTTAATTAACTCATCATTTCAAGTCAAAATACTTCAAGTTAGAAGAACTTGTGTTTTTAAGTCCTGAAATGATCAGAAAATACAAACAAAAGTTTAATTAACTTGAAATAAATACAACTTGTATATTTATGTTAATGTTAAAAGATTAGTTGATTCCACTAAAATCCTTTTACAGTGAAAACTACATGAATAACCCTCTCTAAAACAAACAACAGTGTAACCTATCAGAATGATCTAACATTATAAAAGATGATATCAACTTTTAAAGCTGCAAAAAAATTATCTCACAGATGCAACGAAAGCCTCCTGAGAAACAGATCGACCACGTTGCTTGCAGAGTGAACGCTCAGCGTGTGCAGGTGAGTATGTGTGTGTTGTGCTTTTGTATGTTGTTCTGCTGGTGTGTTCTTGTGCATCCTGTTTTCCTCCTACTTGAGAGCCTTAGCTACAGAGAAGTAGGCGATGTGGATCTCCTCGTCAACTGGGCAGGTGGAGGAAAACTCCTCCCTGGCGTACGCAGCGTTCAGGTACCTCCAGAGGTTTGTCAGAGACTGAGGGATTTCGAAGTTTCGGTATTTTAAACACACCACCTGGGGAGAGAAAAGGAGAAAAAGTGTGAGAGAGACACAATCAACAAAACGTGACTAGTTTCACACCAAAACATGAACCTTATAATGAATTCCTCCCAGGCCCTCCATGCTGCACAGCTTGAAACAGAAGATTACCTTCATGATGTGGAGCTTAGGCAGCAAGTTGCAGTCAGCCAGAGTAAGCTCTTGGCCGTCCAGGAAGGGGCGGGACGAGGAAGTGACTTCATCAGCGCTATTCTCGTCAATCTCATCAGGAAGTGGGGAGCCGAGGTAGTCATCCAGCTTTTTTAGAGCTTTCAGCAGACCTTTCTCTAGATCTGAGCACATGTGCATACACAGAAACAGTCAAATACAGTGTTTAATCAAAGCTAAATGGATAGTTTGCACCCTGATTTCAGACTAAAGCAATTCTTTTTTTTTTTTCATTGTTTAAAATGGCTGAAATGACTGAGTGAGTTTTGGTTTACAGAATTAACCGAGTACATTAAATAAGCGCACAGTTTTCACCCAACAACACTGACATTTCCAATAAGATCACCCGAAACAGAGAGCAGAAGGTGACCTCTTTGCACTGAGGCAGAAAAGCTCAGACCATAATGTTATTAACGGACGCTCCCTGCTGGTTTCCTGTCCATCACAGAAACACAGAAGGAACTGCGACAGAAACCACCACCAAAAATAAAACATGGTCTACTAAAAAATGAACAAAAACACAATTAGATTATTATTAGATGCACTTACTCTCATTGGCCTGAGGGTTTGAGTTCTTGACGTAAGCGGAGAATTTGGAGAAAACATCCATGCCCGCTGTGTTGGACTCTGGGTTACGAGCGGCCATACGAGGATACCTAAACGCACAGAGAGGTGGGTGATGATTCACATACGATCATCACATCACAAACAAAAATACACACGAATGAAACTTGCATGAAATGTGAACTGTTAAGAGCTCAGATCAAGAGGGTTCATACAGGATGACACAAAAACTGCGAAAATAGCAATTATTTTCATTATGTATTAACCTGCCAGTTCTTTTCTCAGTTCATTCATTAAGTGCTTAGACTACAAAATGTCAGAAAACATTGAAAAAAAGCCTAAGATGAGATCTTCAAATGCTTGTTTTGTTCAACAAATTACCCAGGTTTGATATTTGGGTTTGAAAAATTACTTAAACACTTTTCTATTAATGGACTAATTGTTTCAGATCTAAAAAATAAAAAAACCCCACCAAAATAAAACTGATTTGTAAAACAGACAGTTGGAGCAATTACTTCGGAGGGGCGAGATTTTCCTCCAGGAACTCCTCAATCTTGTTGGTGTCGGTTTTCACCTCGCTGCCGTACAACAGGAAGGGAGGCTGGGCACCTGGAGCCAGGTCCTTCAAGATGTCTGGCTTCCTAAAGTTGGATGGAAATAAAGAAAAGTCAGAAACAGACATCCAGGAAAAGATATAGAGGGTTAAACAGCAGAAGGGGAGATTAAAGAAAAAGGGAGGAAGGAAAGGAAAATGAGAAAAAAAAAAAAAACATAAAACCACAGGAAATTACTCGTCATGTTTGCAACTAATGCCAGAGCGGCTTTACATCTTTTAACACTCAGTATCTGGAAGAAATGCCCCCTGTTCCTTTACTGCACGGTACATTTGGGAGCTTTAAAACAGTCGGCGGACATTCCTCTGTTGTGCCCAAAGCCAAACCACCGGCACACATGTCCAAGTCGAGTGTTTTCACCTCTTCATATCCACTGTGGTGACGTCAAAGGTGACTCCTTTCAGCCACAGCACCATGAAGAGACGCTGGGAGAAGGGACAGTTGCCGATGCTCTGACCATCGCTGCCCGCCTGGAATACAAAAAAAAACCCAGAGAAAATGTGCATCATTTTATATCATTCCTCATGCAGAGGCACAGATAGGGAAGAGGGGGGTATGTAATGAGTATTGCTGTTATTTTACATTATTTAGTCTATAAAATGTCAGAAAATAGAGAATAAATCTGTTTTTCAAAATCACAATTTTCTAAAACACAACATTTAAATGTCTTGTTTTGTCTGACCAATTAGTCATAAACACAAATATAACCAGTTTTATTATCACTCCTTTATCAACTATTTGTTTTATTACATCATAAACTGGCTATGTTTGGTTTTCTACTGTTGTTTTGGAAAAAATACGCTTTTTTCAGACAACAAACCGGGCTCTGTAAAATGGCATTTTTCAACATTTTCTGACCATTTCATGTTTCATTTCAAATAAATAGTAGATTAATACACAACAAAAACCATCATTATCTCCAGCGATTTACACAACATGATTTATTCTTGCATTCAAGTTGAGCAGGAAATGATCATACAGCTTTAAAATGTTCCCCATACAGCAGGCGGGAAGCCATATTTCATGTTCAGCCGCTATTTATCTCCACTGTGGGCTGAACAGCATGCAGAACAAACTTTTACATTGCATTTACAGTAAACCAGACCACCACTTACTTTCTGTTACCAAGGCCAGAATGAAACTATACCTATGTTTCCTGTTAATTAAAAGGTATCGAATGTCATTGCCTAGAAACCAGGATTTAGAGACGTTACAACAGCATCTTTCACCCCATAAGAAGACGAAGGGGGGGGGTCGTGCACATGTTCACATGTTCATACAGAGGAATCATTATGGGAGACTTGTGTAAGACCATGAGGGGAGGCAGGGTAAGACATATTGGTTATATTAGAGCATGCTTTTTTGGCTCAAAGAAAATGAGATAAGCTTGCCTGGCCAACATACTAAATATAGATTAAAGTCGGCTGCCCATTATCTTAACGTGCACTTAATTAGATTAGTCTTACTGTCACTTATAAGCCCGGTGAGTCAGCAGAGGAGGGGGGGCTAACTAATATGAATTTAAAACGCACAAGGTGACATTAAGAGTGAGAGATAACGCTATCAGCTTGTGATAACAATTAACTGAGACTGCGGATGAAACGATAAGATAACCAACCCGTTAAATAAACCCATTTCACACAACGTCGCAGGGGCCCGGCGTCACTTTCTGGGTGTTTTCAAACTCATCACTGAGTCGCTTACCTTCACAAAAAGTTCAACTTTGGGCTGCTCGACGTCGCTCATCTTCACCTGCTGATGCACGAGGTCCTTTTATTTATTTAAAAGGGGTTAAAAAGGGAGAAACAAGACACAAAACAGGGGGTTAAAATACATATATGAGGCAGCAAAGTTACATTTTACACCCGAGAAACGAGTTCGAAACTCGGGCAGCCAAGCCCATCTTCCGCTGCAAAGTCCCGGTGAGCAAATGACAAATGACACATTGTAGCAGCTCCACAAGTGGCGCAAAACGCTACACAAAGCAAACCTCTCCCTTCCGAAAAAGCTCAACGTGTTCACTTGTAGCCACTTTTAAAGAGCTGCAGAGCCCCCCCTCCCAACAAAGACAAAAAACCGACCTTAAAAAGTTAGGAGTCTTGTCGCCTGTTCGCTGCTCCGCTGCTCGGTTCCCCTCCCAGTTCTCTCTCTCGCTGCTGTCTCTCCGTCGGACGCAGCTACACACACTCATCAACGCAGCTCCTCCATTTCCTGGTGCTGCGTGACGGCTTGAGCCCTCAGCAAATAAAGTGGCGTTCAAGAGCACACGGAGAGAGAAAAAAGGCGCGGGCTGCTTTGAAGTCGGCGGGGAGGAAGAGGAAGAAGAGACGGAGGACCCGTCCTTCATGGTAGATCCTTTATTTACAAAGTAAACAGTGTGAAGTTGTCGACGTCCCGTCCATCATTTGAACCTTTTAGAAGAGCTTTGAGTCTATAAACAATAAAAAAAAATGTGTCCATTCAGTTAGTGCCTACTTTTCTGTGAAGTTACTCCTTTGATTATTGTCTTCCTGTAAATAAATTACTATTATTTATTTATTTATTTTAATTTGTATGTTTCTTTTTATATATTATACTGCTGAAAGTTAGTTATATTATCCTTTTTCATTATGATGCTTTTATGTTCTATACTTTTTGACTTATGTCGGTTAAAAGTGACATTTACCAGCAAGAATTACTCCTTTGAATGTGTTATATTATTATAAAATATTATATTATTTAGTTCCAGTGTGTCACATTTAGGAGGATCTATTGGCAGAAATGGAATATAATGTCCATAGGTATGTTTTTTTTAGTGTATAATCACCTGAACATAAGAATAATCATGTTTTTGTTACCTTAGAATGAGACGTGTACAGACGCGGTACTATCTGACTCATATCATGTAAGTATATCATAAGTTATTTTATTAGCAGCAAAATTTACTTAAAGCAGCAAAAGTACTCAGTATGCAAAATTACCCCTTTCAGAGTGTTAAATTATGGAGCCTTCAACGTCCCGAAAGATGTAATTTTTTTTATCTGATGCCCACAGTTTGTACACACAAGTTATTAATAGCATAAGATTTATATACTTAGGTAGGAGTACATTTATTTAGTTACTTTCCAACAGTGGATACATGGTGAGGAGGGTGAAGGAGGGAAGATGAGGTGACAAAATACTTGGTAATATAAATATTTTCAAAAGAGAAAGTTAACATTAGAGACACCTAATGTGGGGTTCGCGAGCCATAGTTGGTCCGCCATAAGGGTTTATGATTTGTGAGGTAAAATGCTTTTTAAATATGTGGCCGATGATTGTTTTTACTGTGTGTGTTTTTATTGTGCAATTTTACGTTTTTTGCCCACAATGCAAAACACTGGAATAATAAAGTTAACTAACTAACCAACCAATCAATCAACTAAAGCTTAAACCGTCTTAAACCTACTAGTGGTACCACTGGTAGGCGGTGATGGAAACACTACCGCTTTTGTCCACAGGGGCCGCCAGAATCAACATAATGAAAGTTCCTTGTTGCTGCTTTAATTCTGAAATATAATGTGTGTAATTTTAATACAAGCAGTCAGGATTAGGCAGTTGGTGTGTCGTAATAGCAAAAACACATTGTATGTAGCTTGCATTTATTTATTTGTGAATATTTTGTTCAGAATTATGACTTTTCATAGTCTACTTTACAGTATGTATTGCAGTAGTGTAAACAACCAGTAGAGGGAAATATCGAGCTTTGATTTTTTGCTCTCAGGGGATAAACAAGACATGAAAAACTGTACTGAACCTGGTCCAGAAATCTGGAAAATCAATAAAATGTTATGAGGAAAGTCCTGCTGGGTTGCCAGTCCACTGAGCACGTAACACAGACAGTCAAAGGCTTAATTCAGATACAGTGTTCCCAGTCATGAATGCCCAAACTGGGATCCAGGGAGCTCCAGGAGTCATTGAGAAACTTCCAAAGGGAGAGTTTGAGTCTAAGTTAAATCTATTGAACCCACAAGAGCCAGACTACGTTTTTATTTTTCAATTTGAGGTCAGAAATGTTTGTTGGGATTTACTTTACAATTCAAAAACACAACTCAAAAAAACTAAGACCTAACATATAGTCCAGTATTCAATCCAGCTTTAGTTTAGTTTGATCATAAGATTTTTCTTGTATTTTATGTATTTATTCATTTACTCTTTCAAAAGCTCAAGAGGGAACTGTCTCACTTAACTTTGAGACAACATAGATGACAAGGCCTTAAACTTTCTGAATGATTTTTAAAACTAGTGTTTCAAAAGATCAGGAATGAACTTTAAATCTCATATTTGACCTGGAGAAAGTAAAAACTATAAATGTTCTTTTCAGTGTTTTTGCTAAAGTTGGGTAAAGCTGCGAATAATTGGGTACAACTGTTTTTTAATGGCAGAAAAATCAAAGCAGTCCGAGAAGGAATTTGAGATAATTAAGATATCAGTTGAGCAGTAGGGACTAACCCTCCAATATCATACTGTCTTCATCATATTAATTACTAAAACTAAGCCTATAAAAACATATTGTTATTCTAATATCATGTCTAAAGTATTCTTTGTGGTGTACTTTATTCAGTCTGGTTGTGTGCACTAGAGGGCATCCTTGGTTTTGAAATGGCGTGTCAGGTAAGGGCGGTGACACAGGGTTAATTAGACCATCAGGTGGCCTGTGGAGAAAACAGTAGCGCGCTGTAGACTGTATAGTTGGCAAGTGTTGACAACATGTCAGAGGAATGGAGGGGGGGATTTTGAAGTGAATTATCTATTCATTTTCCTAGAAATATTTTCATTTAGCTTCTCAGGATGCTGAGTTAAATCAGTGTCTTCCTCAATCACCTTTAATACGGCAGATGTTTACTGCAGTTTTTGTTTTATGGAAGATTTTATGACTATGATTTTATGCTCAGTGTCACTGAAAGTTTAATTAGTTAGTTCATAATAATGCATAAACTTACAATGACTTTCTCCTTTTTTTACTGTGATTTACAAGTACACACTGTTTTATTTATGCAAGAAAGTGGTTTTACCTTGTTTTTTTAATCAATTTTATCAGCTAAAAGATTATAAAATGTGTGTAAAATGTTGCTAATAACTATAAAATAGGCTTTAAATTATCCTGGCCACATTCAAATGAATGCAAAAACCATGAATGTCTTTAGTGTGATGTCACTTTATAGACTTTCTCTTAGCACACCCAACTCTGACATCATCCCTGCTTGGAAGGGGAAAGTGAAGTGAGGGATTTGTAATCTGCAACTACACAGCTAGATGCCACTAAATTCTACTTACTGTTCCTTTAAATTCTGGTGGTGAAATACTGAAGTGAATATTTATTTTTATGGCCTAAAAGTCGCATTTAAATAGAGTCTAAAATACTAAAATGCTGGAATAAACCCTAAAAAATGGCTGTATTTTATAATGATGACACAAGGCAGAAAATTATTGTTTTTATTCATTTCTTCAATATGTGTTAATACAACAAATCATATTAAATAGTAAAGTATTCTGAGTTATATAGATCCACTTAAAAAACTGTGTAAACAGAGGAATCGTAGTGTGAAACTACAGCTCCCACATGCCCCAAAGAGAGGACAGGATGGCAACACAGAGGGCCACAGTGAGAGGGAGCTGGACAGAAGTGGCTCCATTACACAGTTCTGTGGTACAACACTGGAAACTGCTGGTGTAACCAGCGCCCCCGATGCTACCAGTCAGCGTCTTCCCACACAGGTTTGAGTCCAGGCAGCCGCGGGTGTGCAGGGTGAGCTTCCCTGTACTGTTGAACTCTGGGAGGAAAACAATGCAAATGTAACAAATTTAAAGGGAGCTCATTTTAGGCAGTAGCAACTATAGCAACCCCAACAATTAATTTTCTCATTATTTTAGCTAAATTTCCCATCTTATATTACATTTAAACAAACAGATCTGAACCATCGACATATATAAAGATGGACGACATAACAGCTCTACAAAAGTGAAGCCAAAACATCTCAATTTAACCATGTGATAAAGTCTAAAGCTCCACAACTTTGAACCTCAAATATTATCACTTATACATATTGCTTGTCTTAAGTGAGTCTTAATGAGGATAGAAAAGGAAGTCCCAACTTTTAGTCATGATTTTCTTTGGTAATTTCATTATGTTCTGTTATACATTTCTATATGTTGTAGTGCAGCATTTGTATTGCATTCACAGCATTCACAGTGTTGTTGAGGTTTCCTTACGTATTTCTCCGGTGAAGCAGCTCTCAGTTGCATTGTCACATGTGACGTCGCTTCCAAACAGACACGTCCCAAATATACCAAGAGGGCACTGACGACAGGTCAGGCATTGTGCTGTTCGACGAAACAGAGAGAAACATTATCAGATGAACAGTAACTCACTCAACAGCATATTTGAAGATTTCTTAGTGTTCAACAGCACCAGTAAATATGTGCTGGTTTCTCTACCTACCAATACCTGTAAAGCTAGTAACTGGTAATGTGATCTCCTTTGTTTAATGCTTACAAAAAACATGGTTGTATTTGTGCTTGACTATTTCTTGGGTGCAGTTACTTCCTGGATTTTGTTGCTAGCTGTTTCCCCTGTTTCCAGTCTTTGTGCTAAGCTCAAATCATCAGAAGCAGATCAGAAAATACTTTAATAATACACAGGGGGAAATATTTTCGTTAAACGACTCCAGATATTACAAACGGCATATGTATTACAAACAACATATATATATATACATATGTATATGTATATATATACATATATCATCATTGTAACTGTGGAATATAAATTATTCATTTTTAATTTAATTCTCTGTATTAGACGTGTGGTAATTGGACCAGATACTTGAGTGAATGTCATTAAGCTGCAGCAGTAAAATCACCTGAGACTTAATCATGAACGGCAGTAAATATAAGCACTCATCTTTATTTTTGTTTGTCTCAAGTAATGAGCCTGTTGTACTGGGTGCAGACATTTCTTATGAGTACATTCCTCCTCAAATTATAGTGTTAGATGGTCATAGCACTTAGTTCATACAGGAAAAAAAAAAGTTTAAATATGAAAAGTTATGATATGAAAGACACAACAATAAGAATTAAAGTGAATAAAGGCATAGTAAATGCACGTAAATCCTCCATTTGTTTAACTCTAGGTCTATTGATTCTCTCATTTAAACCTCAGGAGTTCAATATTATTTTAAACTTACCCGCTGCGATGAAGGCACTCAGGACAATCACTGCTTTGAAGAAGTTATTCATCTTCCTGGGGTTACAAGGTTTAACAGATTCTTTCCTAGAAAATG